TGCACTAGACTGGTTAAAATCATATTTATCAGATAGATTTCAATTTGTTAACAACAACAATGACCCCTCCATGCACATGCAAGTTAGTCATGGAGCTCCACAAGGTTCTGTCCTTGGACCGATACTCTTCAGCTTATACATGCTCCCCTTAGGCAACATCATGAGAAAGCACCACATACACTACCATTGTTACGCAGATGACACCCGGTTGTACATTTCTATGAAGCCTGATGAATCCAATCACTTAGTTGAACTTCAGGAATGTCTCAAGAACATCAAGGCCTGGATGACCCAAAACTTCTGTCATTTGACCAACATAAAACAAGTCTCTGGGACAGCTTTCTTCCAACTGCACAATATTAAGAAAATTAGAAACATCCTGTCTCAGAAGGATGCTGAGAAACTAGTCCACGCACTTGTTACCTCTAGACTAGATTACTGCAATTCTTTATTATCAGCATGTTCCAGGAAGAATGTAAAAAGCTTCCACTTGGTCCGAAATGCTGCAACACGAGTGCTGACAGGAACTACAAGGAGAGATCATATTACTCCTATTTGAGCTTCTCTACATTGGCTCCCTGTAAGAATCAGAATATAATTCAAGATCCTGCTCCTCACATTGAAAGCCCTTAACATTCAAGCCCCCTCATATATCAAAGAGCTGATAACACCATATTATCCAAATAGATCACTTCGTTCACAAAACACAGGCTCTCTTGTGGTTCCAAGAGTCTGTAAGAGTAGAATAGGAGGTAGAGCATTCAGCTACCAGACTCCTCTCCTGTGGAACCAGCTCCCACTCTGGGTTCAGGAGGCAGACACCATCTCTTCATTTAAAGTTAAACTTAAAATGTTCCTTTTTGATAAAGCCTATAGTTAGTTCTGGATCAGGTGAGTCCTGAACCATCCCTTAGTTATGCTGCTATAGGTCTAGACTACTGGGGGAACACTTCTCTCTGTCTCTCTGCCACGCTACACAAATAAAATTGAATTGAATTGAACATCCATCTATGCCTAACCTGTGTATTTTTGTTCAACAGGACAAGAACAACATCACTGCGATCGAACAGCAGCCCTGGCTGGCCTACCATTCTACTTAAAGGAGGATTCATCTGAGGTCTTCAAGACTTGCAAGGTATTTTTGCATTATTTTGCATTTCCACAGCTTTAAGGGATAGTTC